CCATTCTCTGGTTTGAATACCTCTGACAGCAGGAGGATAGTTAAAATCATGAAACAATTTCTAATTATTAGATGATTGTTCTCCTATGTCAAGGATAAGCAGGAGGGAGCAGAAGCCACTCTGGAAGTGAGCCGGACTATGCTATTTTAGATTTTGTGTTGTCCTGCCAACTGTTGTTCATTCCCTGGTCTTCTGTTAGTTAAAGAATCAGCAACAATTCCAAAATCTAAGATTATTGGAGATTCCACAGAATTCAAACCATCAGAGAATTACAAACAACTCTATGCACATAAACTAGTAAACCTGAAGAAATGGATAAATTCCTGGACTCCTGTGTCCTCCCAAGCCTAAACAGGAGAAAGCTGAAACTATGAATAGACCAATAACAAGGTCTGAAGTCAAGGCAGCAATAAGAGCCTGCCACACAAAAAGAGCCCAGGTCCAGATGGATTCAAAGGAATGGTACCAGACACCAAAGAGGAGCTGGTACCATTCCTTCTGAAACTATTCCAAATAATCCAAAAGAGGGAATCCTTCCCAATCATTTTAAGAGACCAACATCATCCTGATACCAAACCCAACAGAGACCCACAAGAAAAGAAAACCTCAGGCCAATATCCCTGATGAACATAGATGCAAAATCTTCAATAAAATATTGACAAGCTGATTGCAACAGCAAATCAAAAAACTTATCCATCATGATCAAGTAGGTTTCATCCCGGGAATGCAAGGATGGTTCAACATACGCAAGTCTATCTATAAACGTAATTCACCACATAAACAGAACCAAAACAAAAACACATGATTATCTCAATTGATGCAGAGAAGGCATTCGACAAAATTCAACAGCCCTTTATGCTAAAACCCTCAATAAACTCGGTATCCATGGAACATATCTCAAAGTAATAAAAGCATTTACGACAAACCAACAGCTAATATACTGAATGGGCAAAAACTGGAAGCATTCCCTTTGAAATCCGGCACTAGACAAGGATGCCCTCTCTTACCACTCCTATTCAGTATAGTGTACTGGAAGTTCTAGCCAGAGCAATCAGGCAAGAAAAAGAAATAAAGGGTATTTCAAATAGGAAAGGTGGAAGCCAATTGTCTCTATTTGCAGACGACATGATAGTATACCTAGAAGACCCCATCATCTCAGCCCAAAACTCCTGAACTGATAAGCAACTTCAGCAAAGTCTCAGGATATAAAATCAATGTGCAAAAATCACAAGCATTCCTCTACACCAATAACAGACTAAAGAAGGCCAAATCAAGAACGAACTGCCATTCACAATTGCTACAAGAGAATAAATACCTAGGAATACAACTCACAAGGAACGTAAGGAATCTCTTCAAGGAAAACTACAAAACACTGCTCAACGAATAAGAGGACATAAACAGATGGAGAAACATTCCATGTTCATGGTTAGGAAGAATTAATATCGTGAAAATGGCTATACTGCCCAAAGTAATTTACAGAATCAACGCTATCCCCATCAAGATACCATTGACTTTCTTCACAGAACTGGAAAAAACCACCATGAACTTCATATGGAACCAAAAGAGAGCCCGTATAGCCAAGTCAATTCTAAGCAAAAGAACACAGCGGGAGCACACCCAACCGGATTTCAAACTATACTACAAGGCTACAGTAATATAAAACAGCATGGTACTGGTACCAAAACAGAGATATAGACCAATGGGACAAACAGAGGCATCAGAGGCAACAAAACTATCTACAACCATACAATCTTTGATAAACCTGACAAAAACAAGCAATGGGGAAAGGATTCCCTGTTTAATAAATGGTGTTGCAAAAACTGGCTAGCCATGTGCAGAAAGCAGAAACTGGACCCCTTCCTGACACCTTACACTAAAATTAACTCCAGATGATTAAAGACTTAAACATAAGACCTTGCACCATCAAAACCCTAGAAGAAAATCTAGGCAAAACCATTCAGGACATAGGAGTAGGCAAGGACTTCATGAACAAAACACCAAAAGCATTGGCAACAAAAGCCAAAATAGACAAATGGGACCTAATCAAACTCCACAGCTTCTGCCCGGCAAAAGAAACAGTCACTAGAGTGAATCGGCAACCAACAGAATGGGAAAAAATTTTGCAGTTTACCCATCTGACAAAGGGCTGATATCCAGAATTTACAAAGAACTCAAACAGATTTTACAGGAAAAAACAAACAAGCCTATTCAAAATGGGCAAAGGATATGAACAGACACTTTACAAAGAAGACATATATGAGGCCAACAAAATATGAAAAAATGCTCATCATCACTGGTCATCAGAGAGATGCAAATCTAAACCACATTGAGATACCATCTCACGCCAGTTAGAATGGCAATCATTAAAAAATCTGGAGACAAGAGATGCTGGAGAGGAGTGGAGAAAAAGGAACACTTTTACACTGTTGGAGTGTAAATTAGTTCAACCATTGTGGAAGACAGTGTGGCGATTCCTCAAGGCCTTAGAAATAGAAATTCCATTTGACCCAGCAATCCCATTACTGGTATATATCCAAAGGACTATAAATCATTCTACTATAAGGACACATGCACACGATGTTCATTGCAGCACTGTTTACAATAGCAAAGACCTGGAACCAACCCAAATGCCCATCGATGATAGACTGGATTGGGAAAATGTGGCACATATACACCATGGAATATTATGCAGCAATCAGAAATGATGAGTTCATGTCGTTTGTATGGACATGGATGAATCTGGAGAACATCATTCTCAGCAAACTGACACAAGAACAGAAAATGAAATACCGCATATTCTCACTCATAGGTGGGTGACGAACAATGAGAACACATGGACACAGGGAAGGGTACTGAACACTGGGTCTATTGGGGAAATGGGGAGGGCCAGTGGGTTGGGGAGCTGGGGAGGGATAGCCTGGGAAAATGACAACTGTGGGTGAAGGGGAAAAGGAAGCAAAACACTGCCATGTGTGTACCTATGCAACTGTCTTGCACGTTCTGCACATGTACCCCAAACCTAAAATGCAATAAAAAAAAATACCAAAAAAAAAAAAAGAGTATTGGCTGGGAAAACTACATGTATCTATAATAAAATGAAGGATTTAACAAGATTTAATTATTGAACACATGAGTAACTATATTTTAAAACTGCTGAAACTCTCCTGCTATCTTAATTTTAAATTTGTATTGTTTAATAAATGCATCATTTGGAATAGTGCATTTGACAGCTAATGCCTAAACTGATTGGTGTTAGAAGGTCAAAAATCTGACCTGGGTTCAGTAGCTATTGCCTGCTGTCCAAGTTACTTGGGAGGCTGAAGAGGGAGGATTACTTAAAGCCCAAGAATTTGAAGCTGCAGTGAAAAAAATTAATTAAAATCTGCATTTCTTTGCCTGATTGAAACTTTCCTTTCAGATAATAAGTTCCAAATGATAATCTGGACAGGCACAGTAGCTCATGCCTGTAATCCCAGCATTTTGGGAGGCTGAGGCAGGTGGATCACTTGCAGTTAGAAGTTCCCATCCAGCCTGGCCAACATGATGAAACCTCATTTCTACTAAAAATATAGAAGTTAGCTGGGCATGGTGGTATGAGCCTGAAATCCCAGCTCCTTGGAGGCTGAGGCAGGATAATCTCTTGAACCCAGAGGCGGAGGTTGCAGTGGGCTGAGATTGTGCCACTGCACTCTAGTATAGGCAACAGAGGGAGAGTGTGTCTTAAAACAAACCAACAAACAGGAGAACCTTCTAAAACTGAAACTGAGAAAAAGTTACAAATAGATTTCACTATATAATTATTATAGTAAAACTCAGTTATTTAAATGTTTCCCCAGTTTAACAGGTGTGTATGGGTTTACAGCTTAGTTATAGAACATTTTACTTCTACTGAGTGTGCCATATAATGTTTTTGATTAAAAAACTACATATTTTATTTATAGAATAAGGTTATGAAGTGTATATACATATATATGTATACACACACATCACATATATGAGAGAGAGAGAGAAAGAGACAGAGAGAGAGAGAGAGAGAGACATGGAGCCTTGCTCTCACCAGGCTGGAGTCCAGTGGCGCAATCTCAGCTCGGTGCAACCTCCGCCTCCTGGGTTCAAGTGATTCTTCTGCCTCAGCCTCCCGAGTAGCTGGGACCACAGAGGCGTGCCACCACACCCGGCTAATTTTTGTATTTTTAGCAGAGATGGGGTTTCACCACAGCCAGGATGGTCTCGATCGCTTGACCTCGTGATCCGCCTGCCTCGGCCTCCCAAAGTGCTGGGATTACAGGTGTGAGCCACACCGTGCCAGGCCAGGAAGTATATTTTTTAAAAGACGACAGATTTTTTTTTCTTTGGTACAGGCACATAGTACTCTGATATGCATTAGTCAAGACTCAACTTTATATACCTAGAAGACTTTCAGAATATTGAAAAGAGATGATATTATCTTATCTGGAAGTTACATGAAAGGATGTAAAATACTAGTCTTACAAAAAAGTTTCTAAGAAGTTATAACTTTTATCACTTCTTCATATCAGTTACGAAAAACCTTTTAATCTGTAAAATCATACTGTAAAAAGAATGTAGTGTTCTCAGCTCAAGACAACTTTTTATTATTAATAAAACTGATTGTGGAAAGCAGCAGCCATTTTTGTGCAGTTATTGGAGACTTGACAATAGAAAGCTATGATTTCTAACTATGTCTAATCATTCCAATTAATTATATAATTTTATACATTTAAGTATACATTTAATTAAAGTGTAGGAGAACTAGTTTTAAAATACATGGTCTCCCTACATTACTTTTCTTTCCTCTATTTTTGAGCATATCAACAATTGTTAATGTAGGCAACACTGTAACAACTAGTCTCTAGTTAGATCTGCTGAAGGAAGACTGATGATGACAAGGTAAGGGGTGATTTCTGGTTAAACTAAAATTCTTCAGCTGTGCAGCATCTAAGGGATTGGGACCCATGTAGGGTCTGCGCATAAGAACTCACCAGCTTCTTCCAGATGTCTAATCATTTTCCTCAATTTTATTGTTTAAAATTATTAGATCAAAGTAGTATGCATGCTCCCTCTGAGATCTCAGACTCCTTCTGCAGGTGCTGAAGAGGTTCATTCCACATGATGAGGGGTTGAAGGTAAAGTGAGCGTAGGGGAAAGAAAAAGCAAGCAAAAGTCAGTTGGATTCGTTATCTTTTCACATTTGTTTTTGCACCATTGCCAGAATTAGCCAAAGTCAAACTTCAGTGTTTTACATATAAGTATGAGAAAAAAATCTGTTTCAGGACAAAGGAGACAATGTTCCCTATGATGGCAAATTTGTACAACAAACATTGGCAATAGAAACTGCTCAATATGTATTACTGCTCATCTCCAGGATATAGGAAGTATAGTATGAAGGATAAGGACAAGGCAGAAAAAGAATGTACATTCTTCAACAAACACATTTCCAACCCCCAGGCCTATCTGTGTCTGTCCCAGAACTAGTCAGGATAAGTCCAGGAGAGCTGCTGGTTACCAGTAGCTCCTATAATCTGGCCATTTGTTAATATTTCCATAGTCAGGCTAACAAGAAAGACCCAGAAGCCAGTTTCATCTCATTCTCTTGATAGAGGTCTTCATGACTCTTTCCTTGATACCTTGTATTCAAAGAATTCACTGGAACCACATTCTGGAGCCTAGTTTTCATTGTACCAATGCCTATTTGACTTTTACATTACAAATTACTTTTTTCCCTCTTTATTTGACCATGTCAATAATTGCAAATTTAGGCAACACTATAACTAACTAGTCCCTAATTAGACCTGCCAAAACAAGACTGACAATGGCAAGGTCACAGATGATTTCCAATTAAACTAAAATTCTTCAGCGATGTAGCGTCTAAGGGATTGGGACCCACATAGGGTCTTTGCATAAGAACTCACCACTTCTTCCAATAAAATCATCATTTTCATCAGTATTATTGTGGAACATTATTAGATCAAAGATTCAACATGTTCTATAAATTCAGTCATATACACTGAACCTCAGGCAAGGATGCATTTTGGAAGTTTAAAAAACTATTTTGCTAGTTCTCAAGTACAGAAATAGAGACAGAGAGAGATATATAGGTGGACTATAAAAATAGTAAATTTATATTAAAGATTTAATTAAATACATACTTATTGGGTCAGTATTTGCTCTTCCACTAGAGTGTAAACTTGCCTATTATTATAGACCTAAATTGGTATTAGTGCCTTGCATACAGAAAACGGTTTGAAAAACCTGAATTGTAGTTCGCTTCTGATACTGGTCATATAGATTTGATGAATATTAAATCTACAGTGAAGAGCAGAACAAGGGAGGAAACAAAAAGTGTAACCCTGGTTGACAGAGATATATTTTTGGGGGAAAAAGTAAAAGGTTTGATGCCTTCAGGGACTTAGGAGCAGTACTTCTTAGCACTGTCTTAGGGCTCTTACCCTTCTTTGAGGCCTCTCTGTTACTTGTAAGAGAGTTTAGTAAGCTGATATAGACACTGATGCCACAAAACCTGGAATCTAGACACAGCCATAGAGAAGGAGAGCAGAAGTGTAATAACAAGAACTAAGAGTCTGAGTTAATTCTGCTCAGCATCCCTCCAGTGGTAGATAGACAGACATCAGAGCAGTTTAGAATTTAATGTGTTTATCTTGACAAGCTAGAGAGAGAAATTTCTTACTGGTTTTAATATCTTTTAAAAGCACAGTATTTTCACTGTGGTTGACAATAAACACAATATAAAAACCTCTAGTTTAGGAAAACATTTTTGCCCAAAGATAGGAGTGCATTCTTCTAGTGAAAGAATAATCTATAAACTTGTTTTCCTGCATGCCAATCTATGGAAATTTGTCAGACAGTCAACCTCTGGTTACGTATGTGTGCTTAACTTTCATGTAGCACAGTTGACTAATGAAAGTTAGTAAAAACAAAATACATTTATTCTATTTTTTCAATTTTATGTAGATTCAAAGGTACAAGTTTGGTTTTCTTACATAGGTAAATGTGTTATCATGGGGTTTGTTGTACAGATTACTTTCGTCACCCAGGTATTGAGCCTAACACCCGTTAGTTATTTTTCTGATCAATCTCTTCCCACTCTGCCACACTTTGACAGGTCCCAGTGTGTTTTGCTCCACTCTATGCATCCACTCATTCCCATCCTTTAGCTCCCACTTACGAATGAGAACACGTGGTATTGGTTTTCTATTCCTGCATTACTTGCTAAGGATAATGGGCCTCCACCTCCATCCATGTCCCTGCAAAAGACATGATCTTGTGCTTATTAATGGTTTCTTAGTGTTCCACAGTGTATAGGTACCACATTTCCTTTACCCAGTCATCATCGATGGCATTTAGGGTCGATTCCATGTCTTTGCTATTGTGAAAAGTGCTGCATTGAACATAACACATGCATGTGTTTTATGATAGAACGTCTTTTATTCCTTTGGGTAAACAGCTAGTAATGAGATTGCTGAGTTGAGTGGTACTTCTGTCTTCAGGTTTTTGAGGAATTGCCAAACTGTTTCCACATGTGTTGAACTAATTTGTACTCTCACCAACAGTGTATCAGCATTCCTTTTCTCCACAACTTCACCAGTGTCTGTTGTTTTTTACCCTATTAAGTAGCCATTCTGACTGGTGTGAGATGGTATCCCACTGTGGCTTTGAGTGTGCATTCTCTAATGAGCTGTGATGTTGAGCTTATTTTCATATGCTTGTTGGCTACATGCATGTACTCTTTTTTTGAAAAGTGTTCGTTCATAACTTTTGCCCACTTTTAAATGGAGTTGTTTGGTTTGTTCCTGGTAAATGTGTTTAAGTTCCTTGTTGATACTAGATGGTATATTTGCCAGATGCAGAGTTTGCAAAACTTTTTTTTCCCATCTCTAGGTATCTGTTTACTCTGTTGATAGTCTCTTTTTTGCTGTGCAGAAGCTCTTTTGTTTAATTGCATTCCATTTGTCAATTTCGGCTTTCGTTGCAACTGCTTTTGGCATGTTTGTCCTGAAATCTTTGCCTGTGCCTATGTCTTCAGTGGTAGTTCCTCGGTTGCCTTTCACACTTGTTACTGTTTTGAGTTTTACACTTAAGTCTCTATTCTACCTTTTGTTGATTTCTGTATATGGTGAAAGGAAGGGATCTAGTTTTAATCTTGGACATACGGCTAGCCAGTTATCCCAGTACATTTATTACATAAGGAGTTCTTTTCTCACTGCTTGTTTTTCTCAGGTGTGTTAAAGATCAAAAGTTGTAGTGTTGCAGCCTTACCTCTAGGTTCTCCATGTTGTTTCATTGGTCTAAAATACCTTTATCGTAATAGCAAAAGCAGATAGAAATGAAACAAATCTACTAAATATAATATATTAAATTTACTAAAATATTTAAGAATATATTAATCTAATTAGTTCTTTTCTCATTTTCTATAACTGATATTCAGTGCCATTTCAGCAGCATTTTGGCAGCTTTGGACAATCAACAAAAAGAAAAGTAAGTGCTACAGAAGAAAGTAAGATAATTAAAGACAAATACTTGGTTTAAAAAAAAAGGACAAAATAGAACCACTGTATGGACTGTTAACATGGTTTGTTATTGAATAAAGTGGTTTGTTATTGAATAAAGTGGTATAATTTATTTGTTCATTCCAAATAAAATGACGAAATAGGTACCAAAAATATTAATGATAGTAGTGAAACTTATCTTCCATAAAAGTGTAAAAAATGAATATTTGCAAACCTTGATTTTACTGATTTGTTAAAGGATTGTAAAAGGGCAAGACTATGTATTCCTTGGCTAAGTTTATGCCATTTTATATGTTTAGCAAACCGAGCCAAGAGTACTCTGATAGTCTATTGCATCTCCAAGGTAGTACTTCTCATACGATGTTGTCTAGGAGTCTTCTCCTTCTATTAATCTATATGTATCAGACACAGGAAAAGCCTTCTTTATGTACTAGCAATAGAAGGCCTTATAAGCAGACCTGTTACAAGACAGCATAGAGAAACGTTGCAGGTGCCATATCTGTGGCAGCTGCTATCACGTTCTTCCCCTCTTATAGCCCAATTCACTTTTATGTTTGGTAATCAACAGGGATCTTAATATGAATATCACAAGTGTCACTTTAGAGCTGCCTAGGGGAACCGAGTTAGCTGTGTCAAGGCGATAAATCTGTTTAGCTTTCTTCATGTAAAGCAGCTCTTGACACAGAGTTGTTTCCTATCCTACCTCGTCCCATATTCCGGACCCACTTCTATCTCCACTTCAAAGTTGGGGTTCCTGCTTTCTCGTATGTGTCTATCAGGACCAGAAATGAGCTGAAGACATTGTGGGGCTCATAATTCTAAGGAGACTTTGTGGCCTGGAAGAATGTTTACTGTTCTCCAGATTTTTGAGATATGAATAAAATCATGAGTGACCAAACTGTAACTCTTCCTTTATGCCACAATAAATGTAATGAACACTAACATATATGGTTTAGATTCTGTGTAAGACTAAAGCCTGAATTTGTCAAAGGATTCTGAAACATATTACCTATGTTGCTTAGTTTCTTGTGGGAAAAAGAGCGTCTCAGATTCTGGAAATCTTAATTCTCAGGATCAATAACAAAGCACAGAGTATTTGTCTTAATGAAACAAACTTGTTTAAAGTTAAACTGGATTTGTGGCAAGACGGTCGAATAGGACAGCTCCGCTGCGCAGTTCCCAGCTACAACGAGGCAGAAGGCAGGTACTGTCTGCATTTCCAAGTTAAGGTTTCTGGTTCATCTCATTGGGACTGGTTAGGCAGTGAAGGCAGCCCAAGGAGGGTGAGCCAAGCATGGCTGGGCGTCGTCTCACCTGGGGAGTGGAAGGGGCCAGGGAACTTCCTCTACTAGATGAGGGAAGCCTTAGGTGACTTTTCCTGGTACTCGGGCACTCTGGCTCAGATACTGCATTTTTTCCCATGGTCTTCACAACCCGCAGAACAGAGATTACCTCCAGTGCCTACAACACTAGTGTCTGGATTTCCAGCACAAAACTGGGTGGGCCTTTCAGGAAGACACTAAGCTTTAACCTCACCTGTGTAACCAAGTGGCCAGGAAGTC